AATTTTATCTTATTATCTTATTATATTATAAAAATGATTAAAATCTTCAAATAAATCTCTAATAAATATCAACTACAGTTTATGCATTTAGTATTGGTTTTGGATGTTTTATTCATGAATTTCACTGTAGATTTTCTTCTTGTAGTTTTCTAGAATGCAAGATCAATTGCATTCATCTGACTTTTTTTTTTTCAAATTATAAATCAATAAATAGGGTCCACAAGCTAAAATTACTGAAGGTAGAATTCAATACCAAATTAGACTTGCCACTATATCAAAAAAGTTTAAGCTTATGTTGACATGTAATTATATGACAGAAAGTAACAGTGCACATGATGCACGAGACCCTCCAACTTTAAATTTTACCTTATTTTCTTAAACTCGAAAATATTAAGGGTAAAAATTTATATATTATAATATAAGTGATAAAATACCTTAAATTCGAAAAGTTGAAGGCAAACGGGTACCTTTTACCGGAGATTCGATGTACCTTACCCCAACTAAAATTGTCTTTCCAGTTATGCTTGTTGAAAAAATTGGCTCCTATCTTGAAATCTTGTCTTGATTTTCAGAGGAGGAACCCAGATCTATCTATGGATTCTACTGGTGAAGGTAATTAAAGGAAGGGAGAACTTAGAGAAGGGGAAGGAGAAAGAGGAGCAAAGGTGGAAGGAAGGAAGGAAAAGGGCAGGAAATGGTGGTTTGGTTTGGTGTTGGACAGTGTAATTGCACCAAACCAGAAGTCCTTCTTCAGTCTGCGCTTGCACTCCGAGATGACCTGCAAAGCCCCGAGGTTGAACTCGGGGTAGACACTCCGATGCTTAAGTCAGCAATAATCGGGGCTACCTTTAGGGCGGAAATAAAAGAAACTTAGGGTTGGTTTCAATTACCTTTTGACGTGGCCCGGAGGGGGTATTTATAGGATTCAATGAGGAACCCACGTGTCATGCCAAGCAAGATAATCGGAGCCTGACGTGTCCATCCAGACGATTATTCCGAGACCGGGAATTTGAGAGGTATCCAGGTGCACGAGCGTCCACCATACTTACTGTGCCGCTCATCGTAAGGGATCAGGTACGGGCATGCTTATTGTCCTTGTCGTGCAGCCATTTGAGCGGGAAGCTTTAGATTTATTCCTCACTTCGGTCATAAAGGAATTACTGTAGCAGTTCGAGGTTTGGCACCTCGGACCTATCCTTACACTATTCCATCTAGTTCAGAGAAGACGGTCGAAGGGGTGAGGGGAGATGAGGTGGTGGAGGTTGGGGGAGAGGAGGTTGTCGAAGGGGTTGGGGGAGATAGCATACCCATTACTGTAGTAGAAGTAGAGGGTAGAGGAGAGGGAGGGTATGATGTGAATGCGGAGATAGTGGAGGAGGTGAAGCAGTACAGGTCTGAGCTGAGGACCAGGGATAGCCTGGGTCACTTGGTAGAGAATTATGATCTCTCTTCCCGAGTGTTAGTTAGGCCAGCTGGGGTAGAGGAGAGGGCGTGCTCTGCTCCTCGGGATCACTGGATGCCTGTGTATTCCCACTATTTGATAGCGGGACTCAGGTTTCCACTTCCTGAGTTGCTAATAGGGTTATTGTTAGATTACAACATAGGGTTGACACAATTGGTCCCCAATGCAATAAGGGTGATAATAGGTTTTTTAGTTTATTGTCGAGCTCAGGGGATCAGTGTGCCAACTGTAAATATGTTTAAGTATTTTTTCGTTTTGAAGGGGGGAAATAGGAGGGATAAGGGGTGGTATTATTTCACCCCTAGGGTAGCTAAGAAGGAGAGTAGGATTTTATTTATTGCGGGTCCTTCATCCATTAAAGAATGGAAGGAGAAATTCTTTTTTGTAGATGATACTGAGTGGGGGAAGGGGGATGCCGAGGTGAGGGCGTTAGCTTCCTGGAAGGCCAAAAGGGCCAACCAGAATAGGTTTAGCTTAAATGGGGATGAGGAGGAAGAAGTGAAGAAGTTGGTGAGGAATAGGGGGGAGGAATTGCATATCATGGACCTCACCAGCGCAGCATGTATAGAAGCTGCTGAGCTCTATGGGCCAAGTGCTCTAAGTGAAGGTTTGTTTAATATGCACTGTAGCGTTAGATGTAGAATATAAAATTATGACTAATATTGTGTTTCTTGCTTTGCAGTTGAAATGGACCAGTTTCTGAACACTGCTGGAGGAGCGCCCATCCCTAAGAAGCCAAGGAAGAAGTCAAAGACTTCAGCCAAACAAGTGGATGAGGGGAGGGCTGGGAAGGAGGTGGTACCCTTGGCGTCAGCTGGGACGGAGGAAGAGGTGCCACCGCTAAAGAGAAAGGGTTGGGAGGAGAGGAGGGCACTGCAAAAGAAGCAGAAGGTAGTAGAAGAGGATAAGGAGGATGAGGTTCCTGAGTTCGTACCTCAGCCTCCTCCTATTGAGCTGGACCCCGAGCTCAGACGGTTGGAGGAGGGGGCTGAGGTACGGGCTGAGGTACGGGCTCCTGGGAAGGGGAAAGGCCCTGTTTCCCCTGCGGTGCCTCAGAGCAGCCTGTTCGAGGCTAAGAACGTAATGGGGGCTAGGTGGTTTATCAACAGCACCTTCCCCGAAGTGGACAAGCGCAACACGTGGGAGGAAGCTTTGAGGTACGGGGGAGCATCTGTTGTGAAGCACGTCCTTGAGGTACGTTAAGTTAGTGCTACTGTTTATTTATTCTGTTTTCTCCTTCTCTTCTTTCTCTTTGAACTTCTGCTTTGATTTGCAGAGCGCGAGCTGGGTGAATGGTCTAGCCCAGGAGTTCAGGGATAGTGTCAAGGAGCGCGCACTCTTGCAGAGGCAGTGTGACCAGCTGCAGAAGGAGAAGGAGGTGCTGGAGAAGAAAAATAAACATCTGCAAGAGTCGCTGGACGAGGTGGTTCCAACTGTTTCACAGTTGGAGCAGGAGAGGTCTTCCCTGAGCACCAAGCTCGTTTTTTAGGAGAGCAAGCGAAGGATCGCTGAAAACGAGCGGGAGGCTCAAGCGCAAGAAATGAAGCTGATGACAGAGGCGTTCAAGGAGCTGAAGGGGAACATGCGGAAGTTGGTGCACAATGGGATGAAGGAGCACATCAGCAACTTCATCAGTTCCAGCTCGTTTGACAGCATCGTCAACCTGTATCGGCTGCCCACTGCTATCATCGCTTTCACAGGCTGCAGAAAGAAGGTGAAGGCTGCATATCCCGAAGTGGATGTGATAAAGGTCACCTTCGGCGAGCAAGAAGAAGGGGTGGAGGAAGATGGTGAGAGCATGTCAGCAGACTTTCGTCCTCAGATCAAACTGAGGTGGGAGGATGATGCAGACGGTCTTGCTGTTTTTCCTCCACAGTTCGACTTCGAGTTCGTTGCAGTGGAGGAAGAAGGAGCAGAGGTAGAGGAAGACGAAGTGGAGGCAAGAGTAGAAGGAGCTGGAGTGGATGATAGTCAACCAATTCCAGAAGTGGAGATTCATCCAGTTCCTTCTGACGATGAGGAGCCTCCTCTGCCAGACGAGCAGCAGCCAACACTGCCACCTCTTCCAGCTGAACAGGAGCCAGTGGAGCCACCTCTCCCAGAAGAATAATTTGCTTGTTTTTTAATTTTTTAATTTTTGTAAAGACATTTATAGCTTGTAATCTTTATTTTACTTGAAATGAAAATTTATTTTTGGTATTATGTTTTATTAATAAAAGAATTGCGATTTGGATGAAAGGCAACCATTTCAGAAATGAACTAAAGTGAAGTAAGTCACTTCAGACAAAGTAAGAAGAAGTAAATAACTTTCATGTAGATTAGGAATGAGCACATCATTGTGAACGAACTTAAAAGGAAATAAAGTACTTCACATGTGAAGTAACTTTTATTAATCAGAAGTGAGATTTAAGTACTGATTGACCTCGGATACATAGAGTAAGAGGTAAAATGAATCTCGACAATCATGAAATAAAAACTGTAAGACAGATCTCTTGAAAGAATTCCATTAGGGGTAAAATTTTTTCAAGTTATTGACATTCCAGACTCTAGGAACTCTTTTTCCTTCAGCGTCTTGGAGAATATAGGTACCAGGATGTGGCACTTCGGCCACGGCATAAGGACCTTCCCAATTTGGGGCAAGTTTGCCAAAACGAGTTTCAAACCCCGTTAGGCCAGCTTTTCTGAGAACCAGGTCTCCTATTTTGAATGTGCGAGGGCGGACCCGTTTATTGTAGAAGTTGGCTAGCTTCTGCTTGTATACAAGAGTTCGAAGCCGAGCTTCTTCTCTGAATTCGGCAAGCAGATCAAGGTTTTCCCGAAGCAGTTGTCCATTTCGTCCCTCATCGAAATGGGTGACTCGGAAGCTTGGGACTCCTATTTCAACAGGAATGACTGCTTCGGTACCAAAGGCCAGGTGGTAGGGTGTTTCACCTATTTCAGTTAATTATAACTTTAGAATGTGCTTTACGCATTATGCACATTTGCTCTAAGGTAATGCGTAACAGAAGAAGTAAAATAATATAGAAATTTATCAAATAGATTTGGTTTAAAGTAGTACCTGTGGCAGTTCGACTCGTGGTTCTGTATGCCCATAGGACGTTGTTGAGCTCGTCTGCCCACTTGGCCTTATGCTGCTCCAATCTCGGCCTTATACCTTCCAAAATGCATTTGTTAACAGATTCAACCATGCCATTGGACTCCGGATGGTAGACGGAGGTGAACTGTAACTTGATCCCATAACTGGAGCAGAAATCTCGAAATGAGGAGCAATTGAATTGAGTTCCATTATCAGCCACAATCTGATTTGGGATCCCATATCTGCAGATGATCGAACTGAAAACAAAATCTTCGACCTTTTTAGAGGTAAGACTAGATAAAGGCCGAGCTTCAACCCACTTCGTGAAATAATCCACACCAACAATCAGATGGGTTACACCACCAACCCCTTTCACAAATGGACCCAAAAGATCTAGTCCCCACTGTGCAAATGGCCATGGTGCTACCAAGGTCGTTAGTTCTTCTGCAGGTTGGTGGGTCAGATGTGCAAAGAATTGGCACCTCGGACATTTCTGAACAAAGTGAGTGGCATCTTTGTACATGTTGGGCCAATAATAACCCTGTCTAAGGACTTTATGAGCCAAAGTTCGAGCACCCACATGACTTCCGCAGACACCTTCATGCACCTCCCTGAGTGCATATTCTGCTTCATAGGGATTCAAGCACCGTAAAAGAGGTAGAGAGAAAGATCGCTTATAGAGGACCCCATCAACAAGTGTATACCGAGATGCTTTCCTCCTCAGCTTCATTGCCTCCTGCCTGTCTTCAGGCACTGTCCCGTCTCGTAAGAAAGAGAGGATTGGGTCAGTCCAGCTTGGTGTGGCTGGGTCGGTGCTGATCTCCATCACCCGTGGCTTTATGAAGCTTGGTTCATCTAAGACCTCCACAAAAACTGATCTGGAACGTGAAGAACTATCAGAGGCGAATTTAGAGAGTGAATCTGCGTGTTCATTCTCAGTTCGGGGGATTTTGCTTAGATAGAATTTCTGGAATTTGCACTTCAGCTCGGCCACCAAGGCTACGTACTTCACCATCACAGGATCAACAACTTCGCAGATCGAGTTGATTTGGTTTACCACCAACTGGGAGTCACTGTATACTTGAATTACACTGATTTTCAACTCCAATGCCAGCTGTAAACCAAGTAGCAGAGCTTCATACTCAGCCATGTTATTTGTCGCATCAAAGTTGAACTTCAAGGCATGTTCGCTTCGGTATCCATCTGGACTAATCAAGAGAGCGTCAGCCCCTGAACCCTTGCTACTAAATGCTCCGTCAACATATAAGGTCCAGTCGTTGGGCTCTGGATTAGAGGTGGAAGGACATGGAGTGCATTCGACGATAAAATCTGCTAATGCTTGAGCTTGGATGGCCGATCTCTGCTGAAATGTTATCTCAAACTCTCCCAATTCTACTGCCCATTTAATTAGTCTTCCAGAGCACTCTGGTTTCTGTAGAATCTGCCTGAGAGGCTGATCGGTGAGAATGATAATTGGGTGTGACTGGAAATATGGCCTCAACTTCCTGGCCGAAGTGACGACTGCTAATGCTGCTTTCTCAGCTATAGGGTATCTCAGCTCTGCTCCGTGCAGCACGCTGCTGATATAATAAATTGGTTTCTGCAGCTTAGCTTCTTCTCTCACCAGAACTGAACTAATGGCCTCATCTGAAACCCCCAGGTATAAGTATAGAAGCTCTCCATCTACAGCTTTAGTCAACAGAGGCGGTGAGCTAAGATAAGACTTCAGCTCTTCAAATGCAGCTTGGCATTCCCGGCTCCATTCGAACTTCTTTTGCTTCCCTGACTCGTCTTTCTGGGCGGCTGACCTCATAATTTTGAAAAATGGCAGACATTTATCTGCTGACTTCGATATGAACCGATGTAGAGCTGCCACCCTTCCGGTTAACCTCTGTATATCTTTCACTGATTTCGGCGGTTCCATCTCGGCAATGGCTCTGATCTTTTTTGGATTGACCTCAATTCCCCTTCGGGACACCATGAAACCTAGAAACTTTCTGGACTCTACTCCGAAGATGCATTTGGATGGGTTTAACCGCATCCTGTTCTTTCTGAGGTTGTTAAAGGTTTCGTCGAGGTCGGCGAGATGGTCTTCTGCTTTTAGGCTTTTTATCACAATGTCGTCGACATATACCTCCAGGTTCTTGCCAATCTGGGCGTGGAAGACAATGGTTACCATTTTCTGATAAGTAGCACCTGCATTCTTCAAGCTGAATGGCATCATGACGTAACAATAAATTTCATCGCCAGCATAGAACGCGGTTTTCTCTTCGTCTTCCGGAGCCATTGGCACCTGGTGATACCTCGAATATGCGTCCAAGAGGCTTAACCTCTCATTGCCAGAAGCCGCTTCAACTAGTTTGTCAATGCTCGGCATTGGATAGCAATCCTTAGGGCAGGCGTTGTTAAGATTTGTATAATCGATACACATTCGCCATTTGCCGTTTGCCTTCTTCACCAGAACTGGGTTAGCCACCCATTCACAGTAATCAACTTTCCTGATAAAACCAGCCTGTAGGAGCTTCGTTACCTCTTCTTTAATGGCCTGAAGCCTCTCACCCTCGAAGAGACGCCGCTTTTGGGCCACTGGTTTCTTCAATGGATTGGTGCTGAGCTTATGTTGAGAGACTGAATTTGGAATTCCTGGCATGTCTGTCGAAGTCCATGCGAATACATCATTATTAGCTCGAAGAAAAGCTATGAGCTCTGCCCTTTCCTCTGGGTTCAATCTAGTTCCGATCTGCGTCTTTCGTCTCGGATCTCTGTCATCAATGAGTACTTCTTCAACATCTTCGATCGGAGCAGCTCTGGTTTCATCTTCCGGTCGATTATCTACGATCTCAACACCCGTAACTTGCTGATTATCAGAAATGCGTTGGGGAATGGCCTCGGGTGTCTGAGCTTTGCCCTTCATGGGTTGTGTTACCGAGGTGATATAACAGTGCCTGGCCCCCTCTTGGTTTCCTCGCAGTGTTGCTATTCCCATAGGAGTTGGGAACTTCATACAGAGGTGAGACTGGGAAACCACAGCTCGGATTTCAGTCAATGTGGGTCGACCAATAACAATGTTGAAAGAGGAC